AGGAGAGCCCTCTGCTCTGTATTGAAGACCTGCTGGATCATGAGATTATTTCTGATATGCCTGTGGACTTCCTCAAACCTGATATCAAGTCTTTCTTTCATTTGCTTCTGCATTTTGATGAGCCTTTTATGTAGTCTGACCTCTGCTCTGCTAATGAATTTGATAGAAGCTCCCCTCTCTTGTACGAAGAGATTGGCTAGGGATATAGGATCTTCTTCTTTATCAGCTTCTTCTTCGAGACTTGCAGTGAATTGATCAGTAGCCTGAGCAGTATTTTGAGCAGTAGCCTGAGCAGTGTTCTGACCCAAGGGTGGATGCGTGATCAGGATGGCAGTTGGTTGCTTGCTTGTTGCTTTAGATGACTCTCCACCTCCTCTTGTTTCATATTTGGATTTCTCAAGAACCTCTTGTAATACTTTGTCACTGGAGGATGTAGAGGAGGAGATGATTTTCTTACCTTTGTATTGAGGTGAAGGTTGAGGTTGATCTCCTAGATTACTATCATCAAGATCATCATCATCATCATCCATATTATCTGAGTTAACATCTTGAATAGATAACTTCCCTAGCAGGTGGCTCCTTTTGGTGTTGTAGACCAGGTTTACATAATGGAGTTTTGTGGCAATTGCAAGATCTTCAGTCTGAAGCCAATTTAGAGCAAAGATTTCTTCATCAATGAAGTCAGGAAGAGTCTCGGCTTGTTGAAGAATAGGAGATAACTTCCATTTTCTCCACTCTTTTACTCTGGCCCATTCTGCCTCCAATTTTTCTAATGGAGAGGGTGAGTGGACTGCTGGTGAGGAAGGTGCCTGCTGGTCCTCTGCTGCTGATGCTGACTGGTCTGTTTGGTGAGTGATCCGTGCTGGTGATTGAGGGATGTTAGTTGAGAGAGGAGTGGCTGGGATGGCAATACCTGCTCCAGAGGTAGTCTTGTATGTAGAAGAAGATGTCTGCTTCTCCTCTGGATGTTGAGATCCCTCACTTTCTTCATGGATAGTTGGAAGTGAGGATTCTGCTGAGGCGAATGTATTTAGTGGGGAGGCTACTGCCTCCATCTCTGCTTGAAGATTTCGATTGGCAGCCATCTTCTTTGAGGATTTTCTTGACTGGACTTCTTCATTGTCTGGTTGAGCTCTCTTTAGAGATCTGGACTTGATTTTGGTGAGAGTGTTTTTTAGAAGATCATTTGAGACTATGGAGTCTCCTTCTTGTGGTATTTGTGGGGTTCCTTGACTTGACTTTTGGGAAAGGAACTTTCTCCAATCAGTTGCCACTTTAATTGAGCAGTTGACTCCCTTCTTCCTTAAGATTTCTCCAATGAGAAATCCATATCCCAGATGAGGGATTGCTGTAGCAATCTTCCTGTCATGAAATTTATTGACATAGGCCACCAGGTTCTCAAATACATATCTGCTCCAGTTATGCGGTGATCCTGAAATGATTGCAGCTAGAGGAATGGCTCTTGTTCTGTTGAGCTCATCGAGTGCAGTGTTTTTTGAATCAATGCATTTGTAGAGTATGCTGAGTAGAAGAGCATACTCATAAACCATTTTGTTGGTCTTCAGTTTGAGTGATTGAGCATTTTGTGCAGATGGAATCAGGGCAATTTCTTTGAATGAATACTCATCAAGCTCGTACTCTGCAACTGATGGGAAATCATGGCTAGGAAGAGTCAGTAGATCTCTGATGTCGTCTTCTTTAATTTCCACCGATCTGCCTTTGACGTTTGATTTAAGGCTATCTTTGGTGGAGTTGAGATAGAACTCTGCTGCGATCTCTGGATAATAGTTTGGATAGACATGTGTGGCCATTTTGAGTAGCCCTGTGGAATCCAATTTTCTTAGAAGATCCCTCATCAGATCTTTGTTTTTGGCTTTCCTCATGATGATGGCTGTGTCAAGGATTGATCCAGTGAAGATCATGTCTTTGATGTTTTTCATGGTTGCCATTTGATCGTGAGGAAGAAGAGTAGTAAGAAGTTCTGGTTGAGAGCTTTTTAGAATGCTTAGAGTAGGAATAGAGAAGAAATACTTGTAAAAAGTGAAGGGGGAATGTACGGAGGAGGTATATATAGCTTCTATCGGAAACTAGCCGTTTTATTATAACCGTTGGAGAAGTCGGTTATTAACGCATGGCCTTGATTGCATTTACACCCGGAAAAGCAGAAAACTGCTTTGAGTATATTCAGTTTATACATACCAAGTGCGAGCCTGCTGCTGATTTTTAAGCCTTCTTCTGCTATAAGTGTTTCGGCAGAGACCTCTGCGGAGACCTCTGCTGAACCTTCTTCTTTCGGATCTTATAGCTTTATTCCTTCGTTGCTTTAGAAAGCATTCCCCCTTAGATAATGCTTCTGATGATCAAGATATTTTGAATTAGGTTCCCCCTAAGTTGATGCACCATTAATTTTTGGGATCTTTAGGTATTCTAAGTTTGTTCCCTCCAGAGTATTTGAGCAGCTGCCTTTCTTCCTCTTTCTCATTACTTTCCTCAGATAGACTTGGAAGATTTGGAGCTTCAATTTAGGTGATGATCCTGCTTGATCTGATCCTACTGCTGGCAGTTGTCTCAGTGTGAGTCTTTTGCTAGCAGTAGTCTGGCATCTGAGTTACCTTCTTGAGATGGTCTCAGCTATTCTTCTTCCATCACCTAGGTGGACCTTCCTTCATCTTCTTTAAGCACAGTTACATCTCTTGAGGAAGATGTAACAGTTGATCTGGAGTTGGCTTGTGCATTTGATTGAACTTTAAAACCTCAACACAAGGTGTGTATAGGTTTGTAAGTTCTTCATTTGATTGAATCTCCAGCTCCTTTGATATCTTCTTCTCTTTTCTTCATTTGCAAGTGTTTCTTCGGGTTCTTCCTTTGAACAGTTTGTCAGTGGCCTTCTGCTCCTTGTCATGTGCTTGAAGCAACTAGAATGTATGTACTATTCTGTTGAGTTAGTTGCTCCAGCACCCTCCTGTATTTATCAATGTTGAGTGGTAGTAGCCCACATTGAAGTGGGCAACTTCCTTTGAACAGATTTGGGCATCCATACCCATTTAGAACTATTTCCCCCTAAGCAGTGTGATCTACAGCCTTTTGAAGTGTTGCATTCAGATGGGGTGGCTGTGTATGTGTTTATCATCTCTCTCCTGTGTGTAGGATAAGAGTGATTTTTTCTAGGTTGATTTAGCTGCTTCTTAGGTGGGTAGTTGGTCTTATTGGTGTTTTGCCAACAGGTTCTTTGGTTTTCTTGTTTGAAAGGAAGTTTCTGTTTGTACAGGGATTTTGATTTTGGTTTAGGAGCAGACATGTTCCTTCTTGTGGGAATTATATGGATGTGGGAGTGTTGGTGGCTAAGAGACTTTGTGTCTTCTTTGAAAGTATGTTTTGTGGTAGAAGAGTATTTGGGAGAGTTTTTCAATGAGTGGGAACATGATGTGTATCCTGTGTCTTTTTCAGTGTGTTGAACTTCCTTAGTGAGTGGGGGAGTGAGGGAGCTTAGCTTTTCTTTCAAACTGATGTTTTCACATTCAAGAAAATCTATCTTTTTGATTGCTTCACCCAATTGTGCATGAGCTACTAAAAGATTTTCTTGAAGTCTACAGTTTTCATTCATTAAGCTAAGGTGCTCTTTTTGGAAGTTTTCAAATTGATGGAGCAATGCCTCCATATCAACACTGGTTGAGTTGGAATAATATGAATTGCTCGAGGAACAGGAGAATACCTCATCATTGTCACCTTCATAGGATCTGGCCATATCATAGTTGTGAGAGGAGCTATTTTCTGGAGTCATTCCAAAGAAGCAAGTAATAGCCTCCTTCTGCCTTTCTGATGAGCAGCTTTCATCATTTGAGCTGCTTTGATCATCTTCTGATTTACTCTCCGTGAGTTCATCCCATACATCCTTTGTTTTCCAGTCATTGGATTTGTTGCTGTTGATCAACAGATTCTTTGCTTGTTGTTCATCCATCATTTAGAAAGTTTTGGGATAAAAGTGGATTTGGATCTTTAGTTCAAAAATAGTCAGAAACTGACTCTAGGAACACACCGCTCTGATACCACTTGATGGTCCCGGATAGAGGTAAAAGTCTAGAGGGGGGGGGGGGGGGTGAATAGACTTTTAAATCTTTTTCAACTTTGTGAAGTTTTCCCTCTAGATGAGTTGATCTATAATCTTTTAAGAGATTAATAGATGCACAGCGGAAGTCTTTAACCTCTTGATACTTGGTGTGAGACAACTTTCTAGTTTAGATGATGTTTAGACTGGTGACAGGAGGAAGTAGGCTTGGCAGTAGACTGGTGAGCAGATAACTGCTTAGTCTACTGCTGCACAGGCAGTTTGCTGACTGGCAGGCAACTGCTGAGTTAGCAGTCGACTGGTGGGCAGGTTGCTGCTGAGGCAACTGTTAAGAACAGGATGACTCTTGGATGGCTTTTTGTTCTGGCTTGTTATGGCATTCGGAAAGACACATATAAATGGGCAGTGGGCTCAGCAGGAGGGTGAAGTCCAGGGTACTGCTGAGGCACCTTCTGAGTGAAAGATAGCTTCTAGTGGAAAACACTCTCAAGGAGAGTGAGTTATTAAGCAGTAGGCTGAGCAGTACAGTCGATGAAGACTACTGCTTAGGATGCTGCTGGCAAACTACAATCCTTTAGTGAGATGTGTTTGGTGTGTGCTTCTGTATGTATGAAAGTAAATCGACACACGATGTATCCTGGTTCAGAGGTGGTGTAATCCTCCTACATCCAGTCCCACCCTATTTCAGATGGATTTCCACTAAAGTATTCAGCCCAATACAATTAGTGCCAATCTAGCCTTGACAACTCTGGCCTAGATTGAAGGTTTTTCACGATGAGTATAACACCACTCAAAGTTACTCAGTCCTTAGACTTTTCTCAATTGATCCAGTGGGGATCAAAAGGTACTCTATCTATCTAACCACACTTTAGGATCCGAACAACTGTTCTCCTAAGTGTTTACAACAACTTGTTTTGATTCACGAAGTGTCTAACCGCCAACTAAAACCTAAGCTCTATAAATGTTACAATGAATGATCTAGTCTAAGAGCTTAGTGAAGCATGAGTCAAAGCAGAGTGTTCAAGCACTTTTTCTTTTGCTGGATATGCGTAGTGTAATGACTGAACCACTTGCTTTGAACTCAATGACTTGCCTTTGATCTCATGCTTCTGCCTATTTTTATAGGCATCTCCAGTAGATTAATCTCCTCCGTTGGTTAAGAGGATTTAATCCTAGACGTCCAAAGTATTGTACTTGCGTCTTCTTGTGTTGGAGCAGGATAAGGATTTGTCTTTTGAAGACCACTTGCTTTGTACGAAGATAACACCCATACCTTAGGCCTTCTTATCGCTGCATGCCTATTCTGAAACTCTTCACTATTCACTTAATCAGATGTCGTCTCTCCTCTTGCGTTCTGAGTGTTTTGGCCTTGTCTTGCAACTACACTTGTAAAGCTGAGTGCGTGAACCTGCTCAATTTTGTGTAGTGAAGTAGTAAAATGTGTGACTTAGAATATTTTGTATCAAATAAGTTTTGTACTGGTAGGATCTTTGAAATATCCTATTAAGGTAATAAGATTACCTTATTGCATTTTGTTCTTTCCAGTACAATTTTTTTTGTTACAAATTTCACAGTAAAATTTGTCACTTATTTTACTAATCACTTTCTTTCTTTAAGTGACATGATTAAACTCATGTACCAAATTAAAGCTATACTGGTTGGATCTAAATATCCACGTAAGGTAAATAATTTTTACCTTTTTGCATTTTATAGTTCCAGTATGTTTAATCTGATACATAGTTTGTACATTGGAATTCTTGTCACTTTTAAGTACTTGTGTAGTTTAGCAGGTATTGTGTACAACTTAACTGGTAGGATAACAAATCCTATTAAGGTAAAAGTTATTACCTTATTGCATTTTGTGTTCCAGTTAGTTGTTCACTATTCTTGTTTATTTTTAAGCAATAATGCACGAATTAACTTAGACACAAGATACTCGTGCAAAGTATAGTGGCATCATCAAAATCATCATAGTTGGGTCCTAACACAAACACCTCTTTTAGCTTTTTTTTAATCTAAAAGCCAAAAAGCACTTAATTTAAGCAATGACAAACACACCTTAATACAGGCAGCGGTTCAATCGGTATATAGAAACTAGACTAATACTGAGGCAAAAGATAAGTTTCGCAAATATTGTCTGCTGAACAAAGAAAACAATAATTTCCTGCAACCATTATTATAATCAATTTAGAAATCACTGTTGAAAGTAAAATAGTCTTACCCATTTCCGTCCATATAACATGTTTGATAAGAAATGAGGCTTGTTGAACTTGAAAATTCGAGTAAAGCAACTGGCAGAAAAGAAAACGATTCTTGTTACATTTTTTTTAATTATGTCACAGATTAGTCATACGCAATATATTTAAACAGTCCTGTGAATGTATGAACAGAACTAGAACAAAAACATTACTCCACAAATTTTGAACACAGTAATACAAGAAATAGAGGAACATATCAGTGTCAAGAACCAAGAAGTACTAAAAGAGTTAGCAAAAGAAGATACTGCGTACCCGAGGTCCCAATCTCTGTTCAGATCCCAATAGAATGAGTATAGTGAGTTCAAAACGCTGGAGAGAAGCCACAAAGGACGATATAAGTTATCCCAGTTGTGAGAGAAGACATGATACTTAAGGGCCGATAGAAATATCACAGGTACCGCAGTTGAATACTTTAATGCTGAAACCATATGTCAAAACTATATAATATTAGTGTCACATTTATTGTCAAAGGTAGAGTGTGCACCCAACCGAGATTCAAATCAAAGAGAAGTTAAAGGAAAACAAAGCTAAAAAAAGTATTCTTCATAGCTATAGGCATGGCAGCTGAAGTATCAAATATCAAAGTGCAGATGGGTCAAAAGGTAGCTGAAGTATCAAGTATCAAATATTCCTTTCCGATGTATAAAAAAATCAAGTACCAAATATTCATCTTATCAAATACTCCGTATAAAAAAATATTCATCTTAGCAATAGGCAAGGCAGCTTAAGTATTAAAAGGTAGGCTCTAGTATACCATTAAGTAGAGCGTTCTTCTCTTTAGTATCCTTATATTGCCGAAGACATTGAAAGAGTCGGAAAAAATATGGCAACACAAGAACTATAGGAATTGCAACAGAGTGACTGCCACAAACAGAATCAGCTTCAAACCATGCAATGGTGGCTACCTAAACATGTTATGGTACTTATAGGGTTTTAGATACTAGTAGTAAGGCCTGAATATAAGATGGAATCGAGGAAATAAAATAACAAAAAAGCAAACCTGGCAATGAACCATTCTACAAACTGAACGCTCCAAATCTGAAAATACCTGCAAAAAATTTACCGCATATTATACATGCAAATATGCAACGGCTATCTACATCCCCGAGTCAAAGTGGAAAACCTAAAGGCTACTTTGAAGTCCAGAAGATGCTAGTGAAAGAAAACTTGGTGGAAAACAAAGGATGCACAATAACTCAATATATTTATACTATGGGTCATCCGGAAACAGTCTCTTTGCACTTAAGTACAGGGGTAAGATTGCGTATATCCGACCCCCCCTTACCCCACCGTAGGTGAGAGCCTTAGCGGCACTGAGGTATTGATGATGATGATATATACACTAGCATGAGCGTTGCGCGAGGCTTCATGCACAAATCAACAAAACAGGGGGGAAATAGGCCACAGATATTTATGTAAACAGTACGATAAAAAGGCATAACAAAGTACGATACAAGCATTGGAGGACAAAATAACATCAGTTTGTTTTGGTGCATGTGAAAACCATTGTTGCAGATACGAATAAAGGTTGTGTGAAATGAGCCCGTGGGGCAAATACAAACACCGAAATAAAACTTGGATGACATGAGGTATGAGGCCTGAATTCAGGGAAGCGTGGAAATGTCGTACTCACTGCACCTATGTGGCGGGTTCTCCACATTACAGGGGGAAATGACGAGAAGATTCATTCACCCATGGCCATACTTGAAAAAACCCAGGGGAGAGCGCGAGTTGGGTCCAAAAGGTTGTTGGATCTGCTACAATATGGGATCCAAGCATATATACATACCCACATGATATTCTCTATGCAAAAATGTACATCATAAGTGTTTTCAAAAGTTGTGCATCCAAGCATTCACTGCTAAATACTACGACAGTGACGGATAGTGAAAGGGAATGTGGGTAAATGTGAATGATATTTACAATTTACAACAAGCACCACAATGTTCATGCAAAAAAATAGAATCATAATCACGTTAATGTCAATTTTGGTAGTTGCAATGTTCACGCAATGAGAGGAAGGCTACTGCAAATGGGCTGGCAGTGTTGTACATGATACAGGGAGGCAAAAACCCACTTGAAAAATACAAGAGTGGACCGAAGATGGAGTGCAAAAGAGCCATAAACTTGCTGTAAGATTGTCTCAGCCCCATCCACAAAGAATGCATCATTAGAGCCATAAAAGATCTGCTCACGCCCACGCTTGTCACTACATGTTCTCAAGAACACATCACAGTCATGCTGCATTCATAATTAGAATTAATATGAGCATAAAATCATTTTAGCATAAATAAATGAAAACAAATTAACTTTCTTTGTCTTTGCTGACACATATATATATAAAAGACTGGCCAGGATATGGACAGTTTGGTATGGATGAACGTACTGCAACAGTGAAGTCATTTGCAAAAGATAATGACAAAGGTCATCTACACACGTCTGAGCATGTGCATAAGTGCTTGGGTCACTTATTAAATACAATGTGTTTATTGTAGGAATAAGGATCAAAGAGAATAAATACAAAACAGACGAAAATGAGAAGGTTTGTCACAAAACAAAAATAGTAGTTACCTGTAGTGAATGAGCTGTCAGATGACTCATTGCGGGGCTCGTGACATTGCCTAAAAGAACAACCATCTTTGTCAAACACAAATGCTTTGAACACAAAATTGCCAACATGTCGGAAGACTGCATAACCACCAAAAAGGATGTTGCTGTCAATTATGAATTGGTCAAAAACTTTCAGTAGAATAGAAGTCCTCAATGGTCACATCCCATGTGCCAAGACCATATACAGTCCGAGCTCGAGCCAATATGTGTTCGAAAAAGGTGTCTGAACATGCAATGTAGGAGTTTCTAGTTTGAAAAATACACAGATTGATATGAGTTCAAAAGTAGTAACAAATAGGTTTGATCGTATGTGCAAGAAAGTATCGTAGTTGCTCACAATCGTGTTTAGTTGAAAGAGTAGCACAAGAAAACATGCGATTGTAGCATATCAGGGAATTGCAAAGTAGGGGCACGGGGACATCCTGTGAATGTGCAATTTCTTTTAGAAAAATGATAAGCACAAACGCATACAGGGGCAAGTAAAAACAAGGCGACAAAGACACAAATGCTTTAGGAGTTATTTTGCTTCAACATTATTTTGACGGAAACAAATATATATATATGTACAATCATTTTAGCCATCAGTTTTTGGCTCACAAATATCCACACATGTAAAACTACAGAAAGTTTACACGCAGAACAAACGAACCTTTGGCACCAGGCAGTGGACAGGATTGGTGCTACACGATGTCATGAAGCTTGTGTTCCAATTCAGTGGTGCTTCTATATTGCACAAAGAAGACATTGTTGCAACCCGAAACTCTCAAAAACTGGTGATATGACGATCCTGTATAGCAACTGTATTGGTCAACATGTGTGCGGTGTCACCAGAGCAACCTCTATCCTCCGACCATGAGTTGTGTTCAAAAAGTACATGAATGTGTCATCGCTTGCAGCATCAAGGGTTGTGTCGACTGTGTACTCGACCAAGAAATCCATCAGACTATCACGATTCACGAACCCAAGTAAAAACAGAACAGTCGGTGACTAAATAAACTATGTGATGCACAATTAACACTAGGGGGAATAACAATAAAAAAATGAAATACTGCCTCTGTCACACTAAGTCGAGTCCAGTAAAACAACGCCAAGGGAAAAGCGATTGTACATGTGCATGCAGGGGAATGGCGGGCTGAATGGGAAGTTACTCTGAGGAGAAGCGCCTGTAACGAAGGGCGAAAGTTAATGGCTGGAGTTGGATGACCTCGAGTAGTGAAGAAAAATCAAAAGGTGTAAAGGTAATAAATGGCTACATAAATATCCAACTGGACAATTGAGCGACAGGACGGTTAAGCGTGGAATGAATAAAACAGTGTCATAGTTTCCAAAAAAAAGTTAAGAGTTTTTCAAAAATAAAATCCACGTGGGAAAAAAATGCAATTAAAGCATTAAATGTAATACCTTTATGTGTTGTGTCAGGTGAATATGCTGTAATTTCATTTTTTCCCACATGGATTTTTTTGAAAAAACTTTTAACTGTTTTTGGAAAGTGTGGCGCAATTTTATTCTTTCCACGCTTAACCGCCCTGTAGCATCGCTCAACTGTCCGGATGGATATTTATGTCGCCATTTATTACCTTTACACCTTTTGATTTTCCTTCCGTGCTTGGGATCATCAACCTCCGTCCTTCGTTAGAGGCGCTTCTTTTCAGAGTAACTTCCCTACTTCCCATTTAGCCCGTCATTCCCTTGCATAGGTACCATCAATTTTCCTTTGACGTTATTTTAGTGGAGTCGTCTTAATGTGACAGAGGCGGTATTTCAATTTTTTTCATTTTTATTGTTGTTCCCCTTAATGCTTATTGTGCAACAAATAGTTTATTTCGTCACTAACTGCTCTATTTTTACGTGGGGTCATGATATTGTGACGAATTTGTTGGTAGAGTACACAGTGGAAATATCCCTTGATGTTGCGGGCGATGAGACATTCAAGTACTTTTTGCACACAACTTATGACCGGAGGATAAAGGTTGCTCTGGTGACTCGCACACGTGTTGGCCGTTACAGTTGCTATACAGGATCGTCATATCAGCAATTTTTGAGAGCTTCGGGTTGCCACAGTGTCTTTCCTGTGCAATTTAGAAGCACCACTGAATTGGAACACAAGCTTTGTGACATCGTGCAGCACCAATCCTATCCACTGTCTGGCGCCAAAGGTTTGTTTGTTCTGCATGTAAACTTGCTGCAGTTTTACATGTGTGGATATTTGTGAGCCAAAAACTAATGACCAAGATGATTGTACATCTCTTTCTGATTCCATCAAAATAATTTTGAAGCAAAATAACTCCTAAAACATTTGTGTCTTTGTCGCCTTGTTTTTTCCTACCCCCGTATGCATTTGTGCTTATCATTTGTTTAAAAGAGCACATTCACAAGATGTCCTCGTGCCCCTACTTTGCATTTCCCTGATGTGCTCCAATCCACAATCGCATGTTTTCTTGTGCCACTCGTTCAGCTAGACATGATTGTGAGCAACTTCAATACTTTTTGCACATACTGTCAAACCTATTTATTACTACCTTTGAACTCATATCAAGCTCTGCATTTTTCAAACTAGACACTCCTTGATTGCATGTCCAGACACCTTTTCGAACACATCATGCCGCGAGCTCAGATTGTGTATGGTCCTGGCACATGGGATGTGGCCATTGAATACTTCTCTTTTACTGAAGGTTTTGACCAATTCATAATTGATAACAACATCCTCCTCGACGGTTATGCAGTCTTTTGACATGTTGGCAATTTTGTGTTCGAAACATTTGTGTTTGACAAAGAGTGATGTTCTTTTAGGCAATGTCATGAGCTCCGCATTGAGTCATCTGACAGCTCAATCACTACAGGTAACTACTATTGTTGTTTTGTGACAAACCTTCCAATTTTCGTCTGTTTGTCTTGTGTAATCTCTTTTATTCTTATCCCTTCAATAAACACATTGTATTTAACAAATGATTCAAGCACTTATGCACATGCTCAAACGTGTGTGAATGACTTTTGCCATTGTCTTTTGCAGATGACTTCACTGTTGCAGTACGTTCATCCATACCAAATTTTGCATATGCTGACCTGTTCTTTCCACGGTCTTCTATATATGTGCCAGCAAAGATAAAGAAGGTTAATTTGTTTTCATTTATTTATACTAAAATGGTTTTATTGTATGCTCATGTTAATTCTAATTATGAATGCAGCATGACTATGATGTGTTCTTGAGGGCATGTGGTGACAAACGTGACACATGCAGACCTTTTATGGCTCTGATGATGCATCCTTTGTGGCTGGGGTTGAGACAATCTTGCAACAAATTCAGAGCTCTTTTGCGCTCCATCCTCGGTCCACTCTTGTGTTTTTCAAGTACGGGCGCAGTAGGTTGCCACCTTCCTGTATTATGTACAACACTGCCAGCCCCATTTGCAGCAACCTTCTTCCCATTGCCTAAACATTGCATCTACCAAACCTGACATTAATGTGATTATGATTCTATTTTTTTTGCATGAACATCATGGTGTTTGTTGTAAATTGTAAGTATCATTCACGTTTACCCACATTCCCTTTCGCTATCCGTCACCGTCTTAGTATTTAGAGGGAATGCTTGGATGCACAACTTTTGAAAACACTTATGATGTACATTTTGGCATAGAGAATATCATGTGGGTATGACGGTATGACCGTATGTATATGCCTAATTTACATATGCGCGGGACATTTTCATGCTCATGTTGGCAAACCACCTTTCTACTTATTTTAGTTGCTACCTTTGCTCATTACCACTACTATGTACTTAAGCTTTTTTGGTCATTGGGCATGAATCCTCGCGCAAAGCGTGTGCCAATGCTAGTTTTTATTATATACAGACTAAGAAATCTAACTTTACAATCTCTTAATTAAAAAAGTGATCATATTTCATTTTCTTTGTATTTTCCAAAGCAAACTATGGTAAGCAAAATCAGGGAGGGGGTGGTCAACACAAGTGGTAGAGAAAATAGGAGAAGAGCAGGTGCTCTCTCAGCTTAGGAATGAGTTAAGGCAGTTTGAACCCAACACGGTAAGTGTTAGAAACATAATGAGTTCAAACAAAGTGATTCTACATATTAAAAGTTTTTATCGAAATATGAACTTGAATAGTTGTATGGGACAAGAACATTTATCACATCATAGAAACTGGGAGTTGGGGCTAGCCTAACCCACAAACTTTTTGAAGAGAGAATAAATCAGTGAGCATTTAGTTCTATTGATGGTCTGGTGGGACTATGGAACACAAACATGAGCCAGTGGGTTTGTCCCATGGAATTTCATAAACGAACATGCCAATATATGTGCATACCTTTGACATGGACGTAAATATATCAGCCAAAAAAAAGTCAGGAAAACTAATTGCCTGCAATCAAGAATAAAAGTTAAATAAAAACATATTTGTTTTCAGTGAGAATGTGTTGTATTACTTGTATACTTGTATGCCTAAAACTTCAAGCAATAAAACCATGAACGAAAGCTAGGCTCAACACAAGAAAACCAGAAAAATTTGCTGATCTATAACAATGGAACACAAACTTGCCTATACTGGGAAAGCAATTCGCCAAGAGGTCCTCAGGAAAAAGAAACGAGTTGATAAATAAAAAATATCAAAGGGAGATATCAGTGCCATTGCAAGAGCAGCATATAAGAGCACCTGCACTTGCATATGGTCAAACTTAGTAACAGAGCAAATAGATGGTTGGTGAAAACTGAAAAGCCTTGTTTTCCATTAAGTGATTCAATATTTATGGGAAAATCTAATGTTAAGATCACAAACTCACAAAGTAAAAAAACACTAGAGAATTTACTATGATCTCTAAAGAATAAAAAGGTGTACTCAACAACATATATACAAAAAGTGATTAGAAATGCATTGGAAGAGGAAGCATCTATTACACTGGTTGTGAGGCAGCCAAAGACACTTCTCCGTGCGAATAAAGATCTTATAGGCGGTCATGCTAGTAGGGACAATTATTGTCATCCAGGTAGCACACTGCAATATGAAGTGAAGGCAAACAAGTCATTGTACAGATACAGGTAGATGCTCATAGTTCACTTGAGACTGATTAAACATATTACCCTCCAAATTTCTCTGTGACTGAGATGATTCTGATCGAGGTCAAAAATCTTAGCATAGTTAACACTAGAGTGCATAAATACCCATAAGTTCACACCCCAAAACCAAACCATCATAGTCTGCAATAAAAAAAAGTGAAACTGAGGAAACAATCTTAAGTTCGCACTCATACTGAAAGCAATAAAGAATATAACTTGTAACATCCTAAATAAAACTGGAACCAAACTTACCACTAGGAGTAGAGGATTGTAATACAGAAAAGCCTCATATAAAAATAAATCCCTCAAGTTTGCGCTCATTCTCATAACTGAATCCCAGCTAATCTGTTAATTATACTCACGTATCAGCTTAAAGAAGGTCTAGAAAATAATAATCCCATAAAATGATATATTGATATGTTATCATATTGTGTGAACAAGCCAGAAGAATGAAATTTACACCGACCTTGCAACAAGCAAACCCCCACATGAAAAAAAGAAGTACCTGAAAAATTGTTAGACACTTTTAAAAAATACCCCATATAAGATTTAAGTGAAACGGTACCATAACCAGCATGGTATGCTACTATGCTTACATGGAACAACAGGAATAGCATGGAAAACGGAACAAGATAACCAGTGTCATTCAAGAATACCCTCTCCGGAAACACGGAGATACTAACTCCAATGTCAATTCAATGTTTTAGGTAAATACTAAATAGCCATTTACAAAACCTAATTTATTTCACATTCTCTTACACATTTAGTCCACACTAACTTTATTATTTTATATGCAGAAACCCTGTAAACTGAAATAATGTACACTGAAAATATTGTCAATCAATTCCTTTTTGACTGCTAGTCTGCTATAGAGAGATGTTGTTGTGCTTGAATGGATGATACCAAAATTGTAAGAGGCAACTAAGATGGAATGGACACCTTAAATCTCCAAAGCAAGACTGGAGATGGCAATATTGCCTTGCTGGCCAATGGAGTGCTGACACCCTTCATTTCGTTCACCTCAGTTGCATGCAGAAAATCTTCAGCACCACCTCCCGACTCAATAGTACCTACCAGTTTATTATTAGCTATTGTGAGCACATATTCTTTAACCACTTAAAAGAAAAGAGACGGTAATCAATCGATGGATTTACCGATACTCAAAGATAAAACCATCTCTTACCAATGTCAAAAACAAATACTCGGCTTCCAGACTTCCGTAGGTGCGGACTGTTTGCATTAGCACTCACAAGGCCTCCAAACATAGATGGAGGACACAGAAGAAAGAATTACTACCAGAATCTAAGTGAATGTCCCTCCCTGCCCTAAACATACATCTAGGGGAAATAAATGGATATTTCAAACATAATGGCTAATGGAAATATGATTGAATATAATCAATTGGTAGGTACAGTGATAACAAGCAAATATTAAACTAAATATAGCACTACATAATTTATCTATTTTAATAGATACACCTTGTTGAACCAGACTAACAACTCCAACTCATGAGCAGATAATTAAACACAAAAGCAAAAAAAAAAAGGTTGGTTGACGAATTGATCTTATTCATTAATGAATGAAATTGACCTTATTCATTAATTACTACACATACGAGTTTATTCATTATAAACAAATTTAACAATTAATAAATGAATTGGTCTTAAAATACCTCCTTGATTTATTGGCCATTTTCAATAGATTTTAAAACTCATGACTAGCCACATTTACCTTTACTAATTTGGAAAATTTAACAACTTTATCGAAAGTACATGGTGGTTGAGAGTAAAGCGGGGTTCCTTGAAAATTTTAAGTGTGGGTTGGTTAGCATATCTGGTAGTTTATGTCACACGCAATTATAGCTTCTTTGAAACAGTTTAACACAATATATCACAACATTTTAAATCCATCTTGGGGTAATTATAGTTTGATACTTGACAGATATTTCGTATATCCTTTCTAATGTTAGTTTGTTTATCATTTACTTTTTTGCAGTCTATTTGGTAAAATTATGTCAACATGTCAAGCATGAAATGAGGCTTTAACTGAGGTTGGAGCGACCAATTCAATTTACAGCATATGAGCAGTAAAGAAGAAATTCATGTCATGCAAGTTAAGCATTTCTTTATGGTGCGGTCGTGGGGAGTGGTATGAAAATTTAAACAAACTTTGGGATGAAATTCATTTGTACAATACCATTGTAATAAACTACTATTATCTTCACTCTATTTTTAGGAAAGGACTATATTATTCTGTATGCATCAAACAAAACAATATGAAAGAATTGATAAATTCAAACACTATATTTGATTTGTTCAATTAACAGTTAACACCATCAAGACTACCTTCTTTAAACGATTGTTCCAATTTGAAAACTTCAATGTAAAGTTAAAAATGCAATGTCAAATGACAAGTGTTCGAAATGAACAACTTCAAAATCAGATCACCAAATCCAAAATGGGAAATGTAGGTTGATTCATGACTTTCCCATATACCTATTTGTAATTTATTAATAATTTAAAGTTTATATTTAAATTTAAATCAGTAACTTTAGATATTTTTTGGAAGTACACATATTTTTTTGGTTCTTTTACAAAATATTTAAACATTTACAGATTTTTTTTACGAAATTCCCCCAAAAAATTCATTCAGATATTTTGCTTTAGTTTTCACTCATGGCCTTTGGGAACCTAGGTTATTGAAAGCCAAAATACCTGGGCATCCTTATTCTGGCCAAAATACATATGCTCAAATTCTCAAGTGCAACCATGTATTTCTCTAAATGTTTTTATCAACTTAATGTCATATATGTCTCTAAATACTGTATCCCTCATAAAAGTAATTTTGAAATCCATTTTTCATATTACCTAGTTACTTTAAGCACTGTAATTGATGAACATTAGTCAATTCCGAAACAATTTTTCATATATCTACCCGAACTACATGGTTTCAACTTTGAACTGGTGAAGTGTCTTTTAAAATTGTGACACTTCAATCTAATTTGAGTAGATATTATTTAAACATCTATATATATATATATATAAATAAATATATAAATATATAGATATCAGATTGTTTTTAGAATACATACACATATAATCACACACAAACACATGCCATTCAAATTTATATATATATACTACTATATATTTTTATGTATACATACATAATAATCACACACACCGATATAGATTTCTATAACAATCTACATATAATTAAAATTTTTAAAGTATGCCTATATTTATGTCAAGAAAAAAATGTAGTGGCCTAATAGCAGTAGTCATGAACAAAGGCACCCTATATATAGATAGGGTGCCTGTCATGAGTAATTAATTTTTTTTAATCATACAGTTTTGATTTTTGGCCTAATAGCAGTAGTCATGAACAACCCTACAAAACCGATTACCTTGGTATCTCTTTGGCCTGCACAGCTGAAAAATTACATACACAGGCACACCAACATTTTCGGTCACATACTCCATATACTGGTCTATGTACTTGTTCTACAAAACACATCCGAGTCTGTTCCCTCTGCAATTTATAGAAGTTACTTAACATTAAATTTTGTTCATGCTCCAAAACCATTTCTCTCTTAAGTTTAGATGGTATGAGAATGTTTAAACAAAACTCACTCAGGGTCTCCTAATGTCAACTCCATCATTCTTTGAGTTCGGCCGCTAATGATGTGGTTTTGAACACCGCTCTTACATATGACTTTCCCAATGACATCTATAGCCAAATTCCAGCATAAGATATTTATTTCTGCAAATTAAAACATAAAAGTTTTCGGTTGTTCTCACCAATCAATTTTTTGTCGTTGATGACGCATTGAGCCTGCAACATGTCAAATGGTTGAAAGTCGTACACCATCATTGGCAACTCTGTCCTAGTTTCCTCGGTGAATTGAGTTTTGCTGATGAATTGAATCAGATAAGGATGGTCACTTGTTTTGACAGTTTGGTAGTTGTCCAGGACCAAAAACGTCCTTAGAACGTAAATTTTGTTTTCCTTGATCATGGTTTTGTAAACCTCGACTTGTGGCCTTTTTATGATAGCGTGAATGCGGTCTCCCTAAATATCAAAATGTGAGCATTGTGAACATAACATTGTTCTAAAAATCGGCCTAGGCGGACCGATTAATCGGCCTAGGCGGCCTAGGCGGCCCTAACCGTAGAGTCCTAGTCAGTCTAGTCGGCCAAAAAATCGGCCTAGTCGGCCGAAAAAATCGGCCTAGTCGGCCGCCTAGGCGCTAGGCGCCCCTCTACCGCCCGACTAGCGCCTAGCGAGTTTTAGAACAATGGAACATAATAATAATAATAATAATAATAATAATAATAATAATAATAATAATAATAATAATAATAATAATAATAATAATAATAATAATAATAATAATAATAATAATAATAATAATAATAATAATAATAATAATAATAATAATAATAATAATAATAATAATAATAATAATAATAATAATAATAATAATAATAATAATAATAATAATAATAATAATAATAATAATAATAATAATAATAATAATAATAATAATAATAATAATAATAATAATAATAATAATAATAATAATAATAATAATAATAATAATAATAATAATAATAATAATAATAATAATAATAATAATAATAATAATAATAATAATAATAATAATAATAATAATAATAATAATAATAATAATAATAATAATAATAATAATAATAATAATAATAATAATAATAATAATAATAATAATAATAATAATAATAATAATAATAATAATAATAATAATAATAATAATAATAATAATAATAATAATAATAATAATAATAATAATAATAATAATAATAATAATAATAATAATAATAATAATAATAATAATAATAATAATAATAATAATAATAATAATAATAATAATAATAATAATAATAATAATAATAATAATAATAATAATAATAATAATAATAATAATAATAATAATAATAATAATAATAATAATAATAATAATAATAATAATAATAATAATAATAATAATAATAATAATAATAATAATAATAATAATAATAATAATAATAATAATAATAATAATAATAATAATAATAATAATAATAATAATAATAATAATAATAATAATAATAATAATAATAATAATAATAATAATAATAATAATAATAATAATAATAATAATAATAATAATAATAATAATAATAATAATAATAATAATAATAATAATAATAATAATAATAATAATAATAATAATAATAATAATAATAATAATAATAATAATAATAATAATAATAATAATAATAATAATAATAATAATAATAATAATAATAATAATGATGATTATAATAGTAATATTATGATAATATGATATTTTATGTTTTTGATAGCAAAATTATAATCTGTGAATACACTTAGATTTTGTAGTAGACACTGATGTACCTGTTCATCATGCAACACCATCTCCAGTGTCCCCCCCCCCCCCTAACCCCCCTTTGAGTGTGGTGGGACTTCGTATGCTCTGACCATCCTCACCCTTAAGGCTCAATTGGTCTTGGTATGATCAAAATCCTTGATCAGGGATCACATGCCTCTTTGTGTTGAGGATCCTATCATGGCTCACAAATCACTCTGGAAACTTAAGAATACAAAGAATGTAAAAGAGATTAGCTTGGTTGTGGTGTGGATTCTGAAACCTGCAATGAGTATTTATATTGGGAAAGGGAGAAAGTGATGTATAACAATTTGTGTAATAACCATTGGTCCCCACACACAATCTCTACTTAGAGATTTGATAGTACAACCATCAAATGTGATGTTGCCATTAATTAATATAGTTAGTACATTGCATTTAATGTTGTGTGGCTCAAGAAATGCAAGAAGACCAAATGTGTGGCCTATGGATTTTAGAGTACTAATCTCCCCCTTTTTTATTATAATTAAAGCACTCTATTCAACATTAATTCATTGACCCAATAAAGTAAATAAAGTAATTTTTAGAGCAGCAGTAAATTAATTCAACATTATAGTTAGTACATTGCATTTAATGTTGTGTGGCTCAAGAAATGCAAAAAGATTAAATGTGTGGCTTGTGGAATTTCGAGTACTGTGCTCCCCATTTTTTATTATAATTAAAGCATTTAATCAATAATAATTCATTGACCCAATAAAGTAAATAAAGTAATTTTCAGAGTAGCAAAATACAGCATTTACAATTACTGAGCAGCAAAAGAGAGATGCAGCCTGATCGATTTTGGACCCATTTTTAACAGATCCGGCCCATTACTGCACAGTGTTTTGGCGGGAACACTGTACAGTTTTTATTTTCCCTTTGTATAATAAAAGATAGTACTTCTAAGTTCTAATCTAAATAATTAATTAATTCTAGAATATTGTTTCAATTTGTTTTGCAAAGTAAACATTTTTAGTCAAATAATTTTAAAGTTACATCCTATTTATTGATAAATTATTCAATTTTAATCATTAAAATTTACATATTCATAAACTTCATTAAAATCTCTGTAAAGTTACAAAATCCAAATTAAAATTGAATTAGGAATTGATATCCTAATTAATTAAATAAAATGAAAACATTTGACCCAAAAAAATCAAATTTGCAACTCAGTTTGGGACAAAGGGAGTATGACTTATTTGATCATATTAGAAAATAAAAAATTCTAAAATATTTTTACAAAATACTAAAATAATGAAAATTTAAACAACAAATAAAAACTTTAAAAATAATTAAATAATAGATAAAACAAATTAAAAAATATAAAAAAAATGGAGGCCTTTCCAGCAGCCCCGGCCACCGCCCAACAATTCCACCACTGATCGAAAAAATGCCAATTTTATATAAAAACTACCTTTTTTATTTGGAAATGGCATGAAGATAGTATTTTTATTCTTTGAAAATATCAAGAACAGACCTGCATATATTTTTTTAATATATTTTTACATTTATTTTTTTATTTAATTTCTTTTAGTTTTCTTTTCAATAATTTTTTATTTTAATTGTTTTTAAAATTTTATTTAATATTTATTTTATTGTTTTTTAATTTATTACATTTTTATCATGTCCGAAGATAGTTCATCCCACCTGAGATGTTGTTGTCTGAAATCGATCTTAGAGCACTTGTTGAATCGGTTTCTACCTGAAAGTGTGATATTCCTCTCGTCAGCGCCCACTCCGTAGCAGTAGTCAGTGCCACAAGCTCAGCCTCCTCCGAAGACGAAGCAAAAACTTGGAAGCTAATGGCCCATTTGAAACCACCAAGCTTATCTCGCAACACCGCCCCTCCAGCTGCTTTTCCAGGTACATACGAGGCATCGACATTCAATTTAAGGTCTTTCTTTGGGCGATTCCATCTTACAACTTGAAACAGAGGACCATTGAAAGTAAAAATCTTGGATAGCAGACCAGCCATAAACGTAGTGCTTTATTTTAATGATAGCATTCCCAGGAGAAGGAATTGATTCATCCCCCCACATGTATGAAGAATATAATTTCCATAAGTGCCAATCTATCATACCAGGGATATTGTGTTTATAAATATCTGTCAACGTTTTAGATCCGGCTTCGAGCCACCAGTTGATCAAGAGTGATTCAAGACCTGTCTTATAGAGCAGTTAACTTTTAGGTGCTCTTCTTCTTGAACACACATAGCAATCAACTCGTTCATTGTCCACTTCTCTTTTTGCATGTTGTAATTGATCTTGAACAGGACATAGGATGCATGTAGAGAAGTCATTAAGAAATGAACGAGGAAACCTTCACTGTTTTCCATGTCCATACTTTTGAGCTTATTGAACATATCAAACATTTTCATGATGTGCTCACAAATACCACTCACTCCATCATACTTACTTGTCAACATTTTGAGAATAAGGGTACTAGCATGTGCTTTACAAATTCCCTTAAACTATTCTTCCACGTATTCTAGGTAGGTTTTCGCATTTTCAGAGTCGGGAATGGCTTCGCGAATAGCTACAGATTAAAATCATCACTTGAGAATCCAACGAAATCAGCAATTCTTTATTGACTACTGCAACTCTTAAAACGGGTTTTCACATGATCAAAATATGAATGGCGAAAACCAATGAATGGCTTACGGCAAATCAAAATTAACTTAGAAATTTATCAATGTTAGCGAGAATTAACACACTCTGATACCAAATGTTGATAAATTCAGTCCCATATAAGGATCTAATCTCACAAACATGATAAATTTCATAGAATCAATCAATAAGAACACTATCCGGTTGAGGAGAAACCGAACGTTGATGGTGCTGTAGAAGATGATGAAGCCATGACGTTTAGATCTCTAAGGATACACACTACAAATTCGATGGATTGTTAAGTCTCCCTTGGGCCTCTTATTATAGGTGTTCTTGAGACCTTTGGAAAGAGACATGCCCCTTCCCGTTAGTCGTAAGAATGGAATGCGCGGTTATTTATGTTTTGTATCAAAGAGCTGAGAAACCCTTTTGGCTCCTTATGTATTATTTAATGTTAAAACATACCCATTATATGATAACTATACATAAATACAGAGATCAAATCTGTCATATGGCAAACTTAATGGTAAGACATAAATGTCCCCAATATTTATTAAATTATATAAATGGTCCAAGGATACTTAAATGGAATATTTTCCAACACTTCCTTCTTCCAAGAAGGTTATGCTTTCATTTACAATGAATGGTTGATTAAGATAAAGTGAACTCTTCTCTAATAACAATACATAGAACTCTTCTCTAATAATAATAATAATACAGAGTATTTATTTACATATTTGAAAGAAAAAATTACACAAATATTACTAATTTGAATCTCTTTAACAAAAGTATGACTACCAATTAAAATAACAAGGTGGTTTCCCTACAATTATTCCTAGGTTGCACTACGTGAATGGTAGTTAGTCACTTTTTTGTTAACCCAAACATCATTGATAATATTTATGTAAAAAACTCTATTTGAAAACTACACTAAAGATTTTTTAATTCATAAAAAATTAATAAAAAAGCACAAAAAGTTATTGAATGAAGTCAAAGATAAAAGGAGGTTTATGGACTGCGTAATCAGTGTCTGAAACTTTAAATTTTGCTAAGAAATTATTATATTACGTAATACTTTTTCAATTCACTTTTGATTTTACTTCTATATACTACTTCCAAAAAAGTTCGTCATATTACCTTTTCTTGATCAATGATCGCAAACTTTGGATAATGATTTTTATTATTATATTTATATATAATTTATAAATTTTATACTTTTGTGAAAATATTTTGAATAAGAAACATTTTGATATAATTTTAATATTCAAAATAATTTTCTATTAAAAAAACATTGGTCAAAATTGATTATCATTAATCAAGAAAAGTCAACTTGGCGAACCTTTTCGGAACAAATGGAGTAATACGGCACTACTATAAAGACAAACATCATCATCATCAATACTACATTTTTTGTATTTTATATTTCATTTTTGATAATTATAAAATAGCTAATGGAAGAGGTAAAATTAGAGGGTAAAATGTCAAATAGTTTTGCCTGTTTAGTACATGGTCCAAACAATAGACCATTTACCTAACACAAGACTAGTTTGTCTCTCAATGTTTTACCATCAAAGTCAAATTTGAAAGCTATAAAACGTACGTCTATTAGGCCAATTAACAAAGACACTATGAGCTATAGTCTAGGAGAGCTGCTTGATGTACTCCAATTTGTACCCCAATGTGTACACCGTCTGTATACACAGGCATTTGGGCAGAAAGTTCTGTCCTCTTTCAAACGAACTGCCTGTGTACACAGGCAATTCAGGGGGTGGATACAAAATGAGGTACAATTTGGGGTACCTATAGAATTTTTGATAGTCTAGAGATACGAGAATGAAAAAACGCTCAAAACATATGACACGACGAAGCAATTCTCATTGTAACGTGTACTACGCAGTTGTTACTATTTTCTCGTGTCTCATTTCAATATATATGCAGATAAATAGATAATACTTTTAATCAATATACGAATTTAATTTTATGATTCAATAGAACTTCATACAAATTAATAGGGTTTCTAAATATGTAGATTTTAATTAATAGTATTGAATAAATATATTAACAATATTAGTATGTAACACCTCATCCTTGAGGCCCCCTAGCACCGATCATACAGTCAATTGGGATGAATTAAATTGAACTTTAATCACAAGTTGCCAAATAACGAGTGAGACTTTGACCTTGTTACTTGCAATGGTCCTATGAATTTTTACATAGTAAACTCTCATCGTAGTTTTCGGGATTTGAACCCGAGAATTACCCCATATGTCACTCCTTATCTATCAGTTGAGCTACGAGCAACAACTAGTCAATCCATTCCATCTTGAAGTGAGGGACTACTATACTTGTTAGATAGATTTCCCTGTCGTGTGGGAACTAAGCAATAAAACATTAACTACCAATAGTTTACTTGCATTAGGAGCAGTTAAATTAGTACTCTATAGGTGTAAAGTACTAAACTGTGGTGTGCTTTGTGCACCTATCTTGATGAGTCGCTTCTGCACATCTTACTTGGGACTTTATCCTTAGCAATGGTCGGAGGCAAAATAAACAGAAGTGAAGATGAAACGAGAGAGAGGTAACTATATATATAGAGCTAGACAACCATATCAA